CCATCTTTTGCATGGTTGAGCCATTTGATGATAGATCATCCATGGTTGCAATAGGGTTGGTTCGCTGCAAAAGAGCTGGTGAACTCATTGGTTCTGCCAACTGTCTCAACGCAGTAGATTTTCTCAACGTTCTAGTCAAGACATTCCGGAAATTTGTTCCGGTACTGAACTTTGCCTTGTAAAAAGAGTCCAAGGCCTCTACTACCTTTTTGCAGATTGCAGACACTTGACATAGTTCTTGAAGCACATATGACATAATTGATCCATAGAAGATGATGTGAAAATTGATCTTCCACCACTCCAGCCAAGACCATGACCAAATATACCTTTGCGATTTTTAGTATTCCAATAATGACTCTTTCGTGTTGACCGCCCATCGTAGGCGCCAAAAAATCCTTCTGGTGGACAACCGACGAGAATTGAAAGGACATGATGAAGAATTGCTTTTGTTTCACAGACATATGCAGCGGGGTTCTTGGCTGCTAGTTTTGATAGGTATGCTTGCTCAAATCGCATCCCCTCGCCTTCATTGAAGTTGATATTGCCTTGCCCTCTGTCAACTGCATGTTCTTTGATGGCTTTGACAAAATCATCAAGGGAGGCATACTCACTTTCAGAACCAAAAACCGCAGGAAATTTTGTATTGTCAACTGTTTTAATTGCAGCTCTAATTCCGCGCGTATTAAACATGTCTTCAAGTGATAGCGACAAGAATGTGCATCCAGCACCATATTGCTTTGCGGTTTCAAGTGTCTGACTGATGCATTTACTTGTTTCCAAAGCTCCATAAGCAATGTCCCCTCCAGTCAATGTCGATTTCAGCCGTTTCCATACTTTCTTGGCTGACGGACTATCAGGATCATCTCGCAACGTTTTTAGGATTTCTTGATGGTTGTTCCTATCCATGAATTCATTCACTCTTGATATTGCATCGCTGTTGCCGCTCAGTTTGAGGCTTGCACTTTTTATGACTGCAAATCGTCTTTTGACATCAGCTAGGTATCCCAACATTCGTCTGTCCTGACCATGAATCATACTAAATTGTTTCAGTAAATGGTTCAACTCCTCGCCATTGAGGTTACCAGCACGTCTTCCATAAGCTTTCCCTATGGGAAACAGCCATCGAAAGGTACATGCCAGCATCTCGTCATCTGGCAAGAACTCATTGATTGGGTCTTGGCGTCGATGCGATATGACAAAAGAGTTGTTATGCCTGTCTCCTCCTTCTGATTCCTGTTCTCCAAACCATCCGCGTACAACATCGTCTGACTCCATTTGATGCTGGCTCACAATCCCGCTTTCATCAACACTTTTCATCACGTTTTGAATAGCATCATTCTCAACTTGATTGCATATTTTCTTTGTTCGTAGCAGGGTATCTGGTGATGGACTGACATAATGCGTCTTAAGAGGGAGATCATTGCTACTTGAATAGCTGGTGCTTTCAATATGTGATGTCGATGCTCCTCCGAAGTAATCATGGTAATTATCCGACATGGAATCCACCTGATGAACAGCAGCAACATCAGAGCCAAGACCTTTTTCATGCAGAAGACTCTGCTTGTCACTGATGAATATTGCATTGTCCTTCTTCTCCCTGACACTCTGCTCAACTTTTTCAACCAAGTTATCAATTGTATCCTGTCTGATATGGCTATAGTATGGACTCAACCGGCCAAGGACTGCAAACCATTGTTGCAGTACGCTGCTACAAGCGTATAGTTTGGATGTTCCGTAAGCTTTCCGAGCCAGCGCATCATCTCTGCCTTTCTCGTTGTAGAAGTGAACATTCATAATATCATCAAGTTCCTCCTTAGAAACCAAAACATGACTGACCTTCTCAACAGAATCATGAGAGAAAAGAATTTGGTTCCCTCTCATGGAGTTCCTACCAGGTGTTCGTTGAAAGCCTTGTCCATTTGGGAATACTTTAATCGTTGCAGAATATAGCCTATTTTTTGATACAATCAACTGCTCATGTAAGTTCAATGCTGTCAAACCTTCAAGCCTGTTGTAGTGGCCAAAATCTATTCCGTTTGCAATTGAGTACTTGTAGCATGTACTTTTTTGCAAAGCCTTGCTGCATCGTGGACAAAAATGAGCATGTTCTATTGTCTCTTCTCCTAGTACATGCGCTGATACAAGTTCTGGGTGCAAATGGTATGTACAATCCTGCGGTTCAGATATATAGTGTGACACAACTTTCCATGGGTCAACAGATATTGTTCCAGTACCAGTCTTGTCAGGAATTTCCAATGCACCTGCCTGCTTTAGTTGGTTCAAATTACTTATTTGAGTTGGCGTATATTTGTAGTAACAAAGACAACAACACTTTTGTATATTGGATGGACGCACTGTCGTTCTCGGATTCATACTGCCTTATTCCGCACGCTCCACAAGCAAGCAACCAAGACTGGAAGTTGTAAGCCTTGTAATATGATTTCACTCTTTCTTTCAGTTCCTCGTCCGATAAGATTTTGTCTTCCACTTCTTTTGCAATTTTGGTTGTGTTGATTGCCAGCCCGGAATGCAATGCAGAATAACAATAATGCTCATCAAATCTTGTATAGCCGCTGTTTGAGTAGTACAATATGATGGCATGCTGAAGTATGGTGCTTGACTTGCAGCATTTGGGATTGGCCTTCCATTCTCTTTCCAGCCTTCTTAACTCGGCAAACCCTAATCTCATAAATCCAATTGGCAATGCCTCATCATCTTCTTTTCCTTCTTCTTCTTGGCGTCGTCGTCTCAAAGCTCTATGAACTTGGCGCGAGCTTGTATTTGTCTTTGTACGGCTCATTCTATTGTATTCAGATGTCCTGGAACCTCTGGCTTTCTTTCTTCTTGCATTTTTTTGGTGCCTCGTTGCAGTCATGGTGGTGATGTGTGATGGCAAAAGGAAGTTCCTTTACAGCATTATTCTCAGTGGTTTTGCTTGATCTGGTTGTTTGGGCCTTTTGTCATTTAAGCTGACCAACCTTCCTTGGTCTTGACAGATGGCATTCTAAATGTATAAGTAAACAGTTTTTCCAAAATGGATTCCCTGAAATTTCTGTGCGCACCACATCAGCTAAATCCTACTTACGGTGCTGACTACATGTTTTCACTGAAAATTCTTCTTCTAAGAGAAGGCCTTCGGCAATGCTCTGTATCCAAACAGAAATATGTTCAAACATTGCAGTTAGGTCTCCCAAAACGACCACTATGGAGCAAAGATACCTCACATTGTACATCACTTCACTTCCAACCGAATGTCAATCTCTATGTGTCATCGCAAAGCTATTCCTGCAAACTCTACACGCGGGGAGTAAAAAAATTTCACTGCACATACACAGCAAGCCAACTCTTTCTACTTAGACAGTTGCGCATTCTGGATTACTCCAACTGCTTTTGCTGTTATGTGGGACATCAAGTGAAGCAACGGCTGGTAATGCTTCTGCGGCTGCGGCTGCTGCTGGTGATGATGATGATCATACTGGTGCTGGTGATGTGGACGGTGATGTGGACGATGGGTTTCTGCATTATGATCCAGATCCCAATGCCACCACTGTCGCAATCTCCTTATGGGAAAGGAGACGTTCAAACACAGGAGCCGGGGTTTCCCGTGCCCAAGACGTGAAACTGCTTGGACACAAGAACGAGTCCCTTCCAATGGTGACTGTGAAAATGAACGGTGAGGACAAGCTAGTTGCTCCCAATCGCATCTTGACTGCCAGAATTCAACCCCACATTGCAATCATCATGTTCTACCTACCAAAGAACGACGATCGTTCGCCTCCCATCCATTATGTCTTGCAAGCTTTTCAGGATCACCCAGGGGCGTGGGAGCATTTCTGCAGAGACTGCAATGTGCACATGGTGGCTAAACTACGCGACGAGAACAATCCAATGCAGCCACTGAATTGCAACCAAATGGGAGGCTTAGCAACAAGAGAATGGCCGTGCCTAGTGGGATTCCGTACAAAACAGTGGACTGCCCAGATTCTTGAAACCTGGGCCAAAAAGGTTGCACACAAGCTCCAATCTGTTGCACATATCAAATGCCGCTATCCTCTTCCTTCGGAGTATGCTGGGGACATCACTCCGCCAATCATCCAAGTGCTCAGCTATTACCTCACCGTTCAGGATGTTCTGGAAGCTCTGGAACAGCGGATCTTTCCAGGCATGACATTGGCAAATACCCTAGAACAGCAAGATATGACTGTTTACTTTGACAACGAATCCCTAGCACTTGCCAGAAGCCACGTGGCAACAGGACGGGGCGGTGCAGCTGCAAATGGCTTCTATGAGCCTGACGTTGCACAAAACTACTTCCATTTAGTCAAAACACTGATTGTTCCCTGCACCAAAGCGATGGCAATCTTTGGCCATGGCATATCTAAATCAATGCTGCTGTATTTCTCATTGTCCTCTAAAGCCCCAAGCAGAAAAATCTAAAATGTATAAATCCATATGTATGTCAACGTTCTCTAATACGATTATACGACCTCTTTGCTTCAAGTCTTCTATATCACAATTTAAAATTGTGCTCAATCGGGGTTGCTTCCAAATTGTCCATCCCTTCCCCTTCTGCTCCTACTGATATTTCCGGTCTTGGAAACTCGTCAAAAAAACCAATTTGTTCTAACTGCGATTCCTTTTCCAGGGATATCCCGTAGTTTTCTGTGAAGCCAGCTTTCTCTTTTTTTTGGAGAGTCGATGTGGTCATTTTCACCCTCTTCTGCACAAAACTTCAAAGATCGACTTTCACTTATTGCCTGCCAGAAAGAAACTTCTACGACAAGGAATTTTATAAATGTTCACAATGCCGTTAAGTATTCAACTTCATTCGCCAGATTAAATTTTAAAGTTTGTTCTATTTTTACAGCAATTGCGGAACATCTGTAATGAC